TGTGTGTGTGTGTGTGTGTTCGTGTGTGTGTGTGTGTGTGTGTGTGTGTGTGTAAGTGTTTTATGGCGCTCGCAACTGCATAAGGTCATATGATCGCTTGGGACACCCCAATTTCAGTTGGAAGAAAATTTTGAATATTTGCCAGGGTGGCGGCCTAACAACGGTCATGAAGAATGCCAGAGTCTGCCAGTTAACTCACTGAAGACACATGTTCTGGTCATGAAGAATGCCAGAGTCTGCCAGTTAACTCACTGAAGACACATGTTCTGGTCATGAAGAATGCCAGAGTCTGCCAGTTAACTCACTGAAGACACATGTTCTGGTCATGAAGAATGTCAGAGTCTGCCAGTTAACTCACTGAAGACACATGTTCTGGTCATGAAGAATGCCAGAGTCTGCCAGTTAACTCACTGAAGACACATGTTCTGGTCATGAAGAATGCCAGAGTCTGCCAGTTAACTCACTGAAGACACATGTTCTGGTCATGGAGAATGCCAGAGTCTGCCAGTTAACTCACTGAAGACACATGTTCTGGTCATGAAGAATGCCAGAGTCTGCCAGTTAACTCACTGAAGACACATGTTCTGGTCATGAAGAATGCCAGAGTCTGCCAGTTAACTCACTGAAGACACATGTTCTGGTCATGGAGAATGCCAGAGTCTGCCAGTTAACTCACTGAAGACACATGTTCTGGTCATGAAGAATGCCAGAGTCTGCCAGTTAACTCACTGAAGACACATGTTCTGGTCATGAAGAATGCCAGAGTCTGCCAGTTAACTCACGGAAGACACATGTTCTGGTCATGCGACAATGGTTAAAGACACGCACGTCGTGTTGTATGATGTAACGTATTCATACAGATTTTTCAATTCTGTTTTTTTCATCTGAAACACAAAAAGAAAAACAACATTATGCAGATTCCTGTGTCTGATTCAAGTAGGATGGCTCGAAACGTGCCTCAGCATTGCTTGTTGTCTGCTGTATGTGTCCGTCTGCTTTGATCGAACTCACTTTAGAAATGACACGAGTTGTGTCTTCTGGCAGACTACTGCATCAAACAACCCCCCCCCCCCCCCCCCCCAATGTTTTATAAATAAAAATATCTCTCCAAAGTGAGACCTCTAAAAAGCAACAACGAACCACAAAAAACATTAGAACCCCCCCCCCCCCAACCACCCCCGAAAGTGTCTTAAGGCCATCCCAAAGTGGGGATATTAATATTTTCTTATGCTCAGTAGAATTGTAATCGTAAATGGGCTGATTCATCCATCAATGTCATGCTCATAACTGTGCCTGAACTCCAACAGGGAACCGCTGCTTTTACTTTCCTAATCCTTATTATCGTCATTTTCCTTCTCCTTCTGTTGCATGTTTGTCACACTCTTGTGACCCGCTATTTCCGGGGTGCCTTGATAGTCGAAGCAAAGTTTGTGCTGCTGAAGCTAGAGAGGTGAGCAGAGTAAGCCCGATTCCCTGTACGGACTTCTCTGTTGACATCTACCCCTTGGCGTTCATATGACCTTATGCAGTTGCGAGCGCCGTAAAAACTCTACTAAACTAAGAAAAAAACAAAAAACAATAGAAACTAAAGATTCCTACATAGACTACATAGTCTAAGTATGTAACTGGTACGATGGGCTTCATTTTACGTCGTTTTTGATCCAGCGGCAGTAGACTATGTCGTGGCGTCGGTGGCTTCGTAGTTAAGCTTTCAGACTCGCAACCGTAAGGTCGTGGGTTCGGATCCCGTTAGGGGCCCGACGTTTGTGTCCTTTGGAAAGGCACTTTGCACAAGTTTTCCTCACTTCACCCAGGTGGGAATGGGTACCCGGCCATAGACAGCGAAAGATCTTGTCAGTATGTTAGTGTTGTAGCGATTATAAATGGCCGCTTGCACTGTATGCTTTCCAGGAGGTTGAGGTTGTTTCAGGATTCTCGCAGGTCTGCTGGGGTAATAGTATAGATTGTGAAGCGCATAGAGCTTGCTGTTGAGCGGAGGTCTGTGCAATACAAATGCTATCTATTATTATTATTATTATTATTATTATTATTATTATTATTATTATTATTATTACTATTATTATTATTATTATTATTATTATTATTGCTATTACGTCTCTGTCCCGCCTAGGAGAGGTCAAGGGGTCAGCGATTCCCGGCCAACAGCTCCGTGAACCTGACGGCTGACCCCGAGAGCTGGAAGATGATCCCTGGAGAGGACAGTGACACGCCCCTCGTGTTGAACTGTAAATACACAGGTAATAATAATAATAATAATAATAATAATAATAATAATAATAATAAACATAATCATAATAATAATAATAATAATAATAATAATAATAATAATAATAATAATAATAATAATAGTAATAATAGTAATAGTAATAATAATAATAATAATAATAATAATAATAATAATAATAATAATAATAATAATAATAATAATAATAATAATAATAATAATAATAATAATATAACATTTATGTAGCGCATTTCCAAAAAAAAGTAGCTCAATGCCCTTTACATTGGAATACCCATTTTCAAAACTCAAAACCTTTCTTACTACTTCCTTTCTTCTCATGCAATATATATTTATGCACACACAAACACACACACACACACACACACACACACACACACACACACACACACACACACACACACACACACACACACACGGACTATTTTCATCCAGACATAGGCACAGAACAACTATAATTTTTTTTTTTAATTTAAAAAAAACACTAAAAGCTTATGAAGAATAAGTCTGTATGAACAGAAAATGCTTAAGATGTCTTTTGAAGCTATAATAATAATAATAATAATAATAATAATAATAATAATTGCATTTATATAGCGAATATCCATGCTCAAGAGCTTGCTCTATGCGCTTTACAACTATTATTACCCCAGCAGACCCTCTGAGAAGACTCAGAAACATTCTCAGCTTCCGCGGAAGCATACAGTGCAAGCTGTGGATTTCACGCGCTCAAACACTATCAAACTGACCCATTACCACCTGGGTGAAGTGAGGAAAATTTGTGCGAAGTGCCTTTCCCAAGGACACAACGTCGGGCCCCTGACAGGATTCGAACCCACGACCTTACGGTTGCGAGTCCGAGAGCCTAACCACTAGGCCACCGACGCCACAAGCTATCAAGTGTTCTTGTTTGTGAGCGACACGTCATCCACACACTTTTGTACCTTCGCTTTGTTTCGTTTTGATTTATTTGGGGGGTTTTAAAATAAAGTTTTTGTTTTTGTAAAAGTCTCTTGCAAACACAAATTATAGTTCATGGTTATAAGGTAGTGTTTACCCGAACGTCGGTGTGAGATCTACGCACTTGTGTTACTCTCTTGTAACACCTATAATCTTCGGCACGTATATGCAAAGATAGTACATAACAAGATGGGCCACTCCTCTCTGTGTCCTCAAAATTCGGTGGCGCCCTCTTCGCAAATGCGCACCCTTTGCGAACAGAGTTACATGTACCCTACTTGAGTTTGAAAAATCAAAGCGAAACTAGCAAGTTTTTTAAATAAATTTCGGAAGAACGCTTTTAATGGTTACGCAGACAAAAAACCTCTTCCGGAGGAAAGGGTGATTGTTTTCTTCGTTTAATTTGACTTTAGAATGAAAGGCGAGAGGTCATTAAAATATAAAATAATTTAAAAACTCCGCACTGAACGAATCCGAACTGCTGATGAACAGCAGTCGATCTGCGAACGCAAGGAGGTGCTATTCCTATTTTTCTTCAAAAAAACGAAAGAGAGCTTCAAAACAGACTGCAGCGCCATCTGAAGCAAAGAGCGGACTTCCGGCGGACACTTTTTTGGCTGAGTGGCCCATCTTGTTATGTACTATCTTTGGTATATATGACCACAATATTGTGTTGCAAGTATTGTAAAACCTTTACTAAAACTGAACGAAAAGTGCGTAGATCTTACACCGACGTTCGGATAAACACTTTCTTATAATCATGACCTATATGTGTTTGCAAGAGACTTTTACAAAAACAAAAACTTAAAATAAAACAACAAATGTACAACAAGGACGATGGGTTTTTTTATAGGAGAGAAGGAGCAAACCGCACCAAAGCACCCGCCAACCACCCACCAACACACTTTTTTATCTTCGTTTTGTTTGCTTTTTAGTTTTTGTTTTTGTAAAAGTATCTAGCAAACACAAATAGATTATGATAATGATATTAGTGTTTATCCCAACGCCAATGTAAGATCTAGTCACTTTATGTTGTAGGTGCGGAAGATTAGAGGTGTTACTAAAATATAACATACAAAGAAAAGAAGGAAGAGGAAAGATCAGGACGATAGATATAATTTGATAGGAAAGTAGGAGAAGACCAATCCAGAACGCCCTCCAACCACACATACTTTTATTTTGTGTTAGTAGCACTGGCTAAAACTTTTAAACACAATAAGGTCATACTTTTAAGTCCTAGATCTGGAGATTAGTGGTGTTGCAAGAGAGTAACAAACATCAAAAAAGAAGGAGAAGAGTTAAGGACCATGGATGTTCAAAAGGGAAGAAGAGGTAAAACACTGCAGAGCACCGGTAAACCACTCATTGTGATTTCTTCTTCTTTATCTGGACTGTTGACCTTTCAACCCGGGTTGGCAGTGTGGCATGACATCTTGCCTTCAAATTATGTTTCCTTCATAATGGTCTGGTGGCTTTTTATATTCTGACCAAAGTATTGCGCTGTTGTGCGCTTATAAATTTGAGTAGTCCACAGACAAAAACCGGCATAGTCACAAACTAGAAATTGTGAAGATTATTTTATATGTTTGTTGGATGTGAAATCTAACAACAGTAATCAACGAACAGCTGAACAGAAATACAGTTATGAGTCAACAGGTGTTCAAAATTGATACCCTCACGATTTTCAGTTTGTGACTATACCCGTTTTTTCAGTGGACTCCTCATTTGTTTTCAGTGTTTGTCTTGCGTGGAGTAAATAAGTCAGTTTATTCAGTGTTTAAGGTCATTGGCCCACATCGCATCATGATTATGAAACTCTCTTTGATTAAATAAAGTTTCCATAATGAAAGAGTACAGGATGTGCACATATCTCTTATCATGGATCAAAAATTGCTTATTTCTGTCACTGGGCCGAGTCAGGATCTGGGGAATAAACAACAATGTCCTTTGATGGACGAAATATGGACGGTAGAAAACAAAGAAAAATATTCATCTTCAATTCCATTAGAGTTACACCTCTGGCGAGGAGAATGATCATGAATTAATGCGTCAATGAACGAACTTGTCTTTATCTTTTTAACTCAAACAGTTGGTGGTTGGCGGTTGCTCTGGTGTGGTTTACTTCTTCTTTCCTATCAAACATCTATTGTCCTTATCTCCTCTTCTTCTTTTTTTATGTTTCTCACTCTCTCGTAACACCTGTAATCTTGCGCTCATATAACCATATGCCGTTGCGAGCGCCGTAAAACCTCTACTAAAAGAAACAAACACGTAGTCTTTGTACAGCTCTGTCACAACATAGCGCCATTCTGCGGCACACAGCAACATACTACATAATAAATGATATACTAAAACTAAAAACTGTGTGTAGAGAACTCAAACAAGCCTTGTATTCTCGCAATGACCAGGTACCAGAGAGGTTCTGTCTATCGCGATCTTTCACATGACACGTCCGAGGACCATGGTAGCACGGGCGAGGAACTCCGACGGTGAGCTCGACATCTCTAAGGCCGATGACGTCACTATTGCAGACGGTTCCCTTGAGGGAGATGACGAAAACGCGTATCTCAATGTGGTCTTTGAGAACCCGGGTAAGTTGGTGGACTGTCTAAGGGGAACAATCTCTCCCCCTCTCTCTCTCTCTCTCTCTCTCTCTCTCTCTCTCTCTCTCTCTCTCTCTCTCTC